CTAATTTTTCCTTTTTTTAAAAAAGCAGCATCATGGGGGGGGGCCGGGGATTTCCCCCCCCCCCCTCCTTTTACGATTATTATTACAAAAAAGAGGGAGTGGGGAAGGAGAAACACAAGCACCAGGGATAGTAAATCTCTTCCTCTTTTCCACACACCAGCTGCTGTGATGCTCTACCGCAGCGGCCAAGACACTTCATCCTCCTCCGGGGTTTACTTGGAGCTGTGCAATCGCTTGGGTAAATAGGGCGATTCCTGCTATGTTTGCTTTTTATTTGCTTTTTATTTTTTTCCTTGAACTGGCTCTAAATAGCTGGGGAGGGGATGGGCTGGTGCAGGGTATCTACCCCTTTCCCAGCCCTCTGAGTTAATTTAAAGGCTCTCGTGTGAATTTAAGACCAGGCTGAAGTCCCATTCGTCTCCCAGTGGGGTGGTCAAAGTCCCTCCCCGCTGCGGGGGGCTCATGGAGTTGGTTATGGAGCTGCCCTCGCCGTTTGCTATTAAAACCCTGCTTTTCCCATCCCTGGTGAGATTCCCCCAGGAGAAAGTGTCATCCTCAAGGCTGGTGGAACAAGTGGGTTTTTAGGGTTGCTTCTCAGCTGATCCCCATCTGTCTCTGGGATGTGCTGGGTGAGATGAGAATTAATTTGATATAGTTAAAAGGCTCAGTAATAACCTGGGGATGGGGGAGCCTTGGCTCAGGCAGCAGCTCTTGACTCTCTCCTGGGAGATGAGCAACAAGCAGAATCAGGTCCCTGGATTTGAGCCCTGGGGGCTGTGGATCAGGCGATGGGGAGCAGGAGATGCTAAAATAGCATCAGCCCCAGGCAGGACTTATCCTCTGGGCTCCATGGGGAAGTATTTATCCAAAATCCTGCCTTTGAGGATGCTCATTCCTGTGCATTATGCCTGGCTACGTGCTTGGGTTGGGTGGCACAAACCACCTCCTTCTGACAAGCTCTGGACCACTTTCCATCCCACCCTTTTCGGTTTGGTGGGTGAACTGCAAAGCCCGTCAGCTGTAGCACCTCATTAGGCAAATTCTCTCATCCCATCCCAGTTTTCCCAACCCAGACGTGGGGATGCTGTGAGCTTCCCGGCAGTGCTGATGGAGGTCAAACAGCAAATATTGGGGAGCAGCTTCCCCTGCAAGATTTTGGCTTCTCCCTTCGCCAGCCTTGGCCCCAGGGTTGATCTGAGCCATGCAGAGATGGATTTCAGGCACAGCACGAAAGACAAAACCCTCTCTCGCTTTTATTTATCTCAGCGCATCTCCCGCTATTAACTACCGCCAGCCTGATGCCAGCTGGACCGTTTACGACAGCAATAAAAGCCAAACAGCGATATAAAATTGCACCTGTCATAATTGGGCTTGATTTAACTGTGGATGGAGGCAGCCGATGTGATGCTTGTTTGATATGTTGTGCAAGGGTGCCTTGGCCAAACGGTACCACCGTGGCCACGTCCCTCTGATGTGCTGGACCCTCAAGCATCTGTTTTGCAGGGTAATAAAATCACTTTGATTCTCCCTGAAAGCAGGGTGCTGCATGAGCTTGTGTTTTAAAGTAATAGGAGAAAAGGATGGCTGCTGTTTTAATTTGATGTTGTCAGTCTTTTTTTTTTCCCCTTTCTTTTTCTTCCTGAAGTACATAGGAGACTGGATGGTGAAGACAGATGAGGAGAACTTTTTAACTCCTACTGCTTTAGAAACTCGCCGTTGTATTTTCTCCTTTCCTAGAAAGGCAGCCGTGCCAACCAGTAAAAGGTCCTTTGCTCTCTGGTTTTTACGAGCTTTGGCTCATACTGCTGGAGGCAGGACAGGAGCAAATGCCTGTTGTACAGAAACAGGGGTATTTATACCCAAAAAGCAGCTGACTGGTGTATGGCCCCTATACCATACCAGACCAGGGGTGGATGTATTTACCTTGTTTCCCTTTTCCCCTCTTCACAAGAAGTGTAGGAATCTCTCGGTGCAGATTTTGGGGTGCTTTTGTTATTGCAAGAGGATGGGGGGGTGCAGACCCCTCTGAGGCTAATGAGGCTTCTTGGTGTTTTTTAATATATTGGGTATTTTCTGCTGCTCCCCGGTTGCTTTTCTCCCCAATAATTCTTCCATTGTCCTTTCGTAATGAACAAATAAGGCTTGCGTTTGCAGCATGCACAAAAGATGCTCCGGCAGCTTCCGAGCTGTTGGGTTCTTCAGGGTTTTGCTCCACATTGTGGACATAGCTAAGTAGGGGAAAAGGAGCTCCCAGCATCCCTGGGTGTGGACTCGTGGCAGCACTGTTCGAAGCAGCATCCTGTTTTCAGATTCATAAAGGCGATGCTTCAGCTCAGCCTTCATTTAAAGAGCAGATGCTGTGTGCAGGTACCCGGTTTGGTACCAAGGTCCTGATGCTGGCCATAGGATATCCCGACCTTGCGTTATTTAATTTCCTTTCTCAAGCTAATGAGTGTTAATGGGAAGGGAGGTACCTGGGGTGCAAACCCCATTGGGAGAGCTTGCTGCCAGCATGGAGTACAAAATGGAGGTGCTAGCAACTCCCTGGAAATCCTATGAGCCCCACAACTGCATATTCAAGGAAAACACCAAGTACCAGGCTCGGGTACCACGTACCTCCCTCATCCATCACCGCAGAGTCCTGGTGCTCTGCTCAAACTACCCAAACTACTGGGGCATCCGAAGACCAGTGTCCACTGTTGAAAGCAAGCTTTGGGTTTCTCTTTCAGGACTTTCATTTTATTATCCCATCAGATATTTCTGCATGATGTCCCGGCTTGGTTTCTTTTTTCGCAGCTGTCCTTGCTGCTGGTGTTTGAGAGCATTGTGAGCCGTGCTTGGTACAGCCTCTCTGTCTCCTTTGGAGATGGTTATTGGAATGTTGCATTTAATCATGAGTAATGAAAGCAAATGGTGTAATGTCAGTAGTATCTCTTCTCTCACCCCTCCAGCAATTTCATATCCTGTTGTAATAATGTAAAGGATTAAAGGCAAGATGGGAAGCAGTGACACGAGGACGTGGCACCAGGGAGGGCAGCCCGCTTTCCGCCTCCTCCTGCCATTGGGAAATCTCATTTTGCAGGCTGGCCTTGCTTGCTACACCCATTTGAATGAAGCAATTCCTTTTGCAAGTGGCACAGCCGAAATAAAAAGGTTTTTTACAGCTTTGCCCCTATGTTGCCAGCTTGCCCAACATCTTTGGCATCAGCATCGGTGCCCGCTGACATGCCGGGCATTGTCTGTCCAGGTGGGACTGTTAATTTCCATCTTAATTTGGGTTTTCGAGGGCAGGTTGAACCCGTGGAGATGGGTTCATGCATCATTGATGGAAAGGTAATGGGAGAACAGATGTAAGCAGCTGGTTATCTCTGTAACCCATTAATATATGTCCTAGGGCAAAATAGCTCCAGGGCTGCATGGGAAGTGTCTCCGCTCTCCTTTCTGACCTGGAAATGAGGAGTGTGGAAGGTAAAGCCCCATTTGAAAGAGGAGAGGGAAAAAAAAAGCTCGAGTCCTAATGCTGCCTGTGCTTGCTCCCAGCCTGGGTGGGCATCACTTAAACAGGAGCAGCCAGTTAGAAACCCACTGAGCCCTGAGCACACCGGCAGATGGACTGGGTGAATGTATTTAAGACCTGATATGCAACAACATTAATAATGTAGGGAGGAAGATGCTGCAAAAAAACCCATAATGGCTCGAAACCAGGCTAATGGGGCATGCAGGAGCAAGCTTGTTAAAAAAAAAAAAAAGCCAGTCATCAAAAATCAAATGGAGTAGGTATCTTCTGGAAGGGAGAGGGAAAGGGGAGGTTTAGCTGGAGACAAAGGACCTTTGTCTCTAATTACAAAAACAGCAGAGGAAGCAAGGGAAGATGAAAGCTCCATGTAAAGTACCAGGTGTTTTGATCTGCAACCAAGTTACCTCTGAGATGTTCTAGGAGGATCCCCCAAGTCAAATTAGCTTCTAAGGGTTTGTTTTAAAATAACAACCATGGGAAAAAAAATCCCTTTTTTTGTGTCGTTGAGACTAAAAGCTTTAAACACAGGGACCTGAGCCGTCTGTCCAGCCCTCCCCAGTACAGAAGCATCCCTTCCGCTCCTGCAAGGCTCTGCTTGGAGCTTTGCTGGATAATTTCCCCCGCATGAGCTCAACCCAGAGACCAGACCCTCCAACCAACAGCTGCATGGGTTTTCCCCTCTGCTGTGACAATTTATTTTGGATTTATGGGCTGTCTTCTCCATCTGGGGAGCCCCACAAATATGGGGGGGCAGCGCATGGACTATGGGGGCCTGACCTTTGTAGGAAACATGATAGTGAGGAATCAACTTGTGACATCTTTCTGCCTCTTCTTGTATGAGTCTGGCTTAGAAAAGCCTTGCTTTTCCTAGGAGCTAAGGGAGAATAAAAATTGGAATGATATTTGAAGAAGAAATGGTGTCTTTAGGAACCAAGTGTGCAAGCACCTGGGACCCATCCCTACCTCCGCTTTGGGTGCAGGCTCTCCCATGACCCATAGGCATCACCTATTGCCCCAGGACCCAGCCTCACCCAATCCACGCTTAATCACTAACGAGCATCTGAAGCTGGAGATGCTTCTCTAGGATGTTCCTGGCATTGGCAACTCTTAATTTACTGCCAGGATGGTTCCCTGCAGTCTGGCTTCAGCTCGGAGAAATATATAACTGACAGCCAGCAAAAGCACCATTTCATCCAGCAACGGGGTGAATCCAGCAAATAATTGTCCAAAGATTATCATAGCGTAATGGTGCAACAACAGCAGCCGCTGCACATCATTAGAGCTTACCAGGGAGCGCGGGAAGAGATTCAACAGAACTAAAGCAAACAAATGCTGAGCAAAATACACAGCAGATGTAGCGTATTAGTTGTGCACGGATTGACTTAAGAGCTGTGTGTCAACAGCATTGAAGCAAGGCAGGGGTTGGCAAAGCCTGAGGCTGGTTGCATCTCTCAAGCACGACTCCGTCCTTGCGGGTTCTTGAGTTTAAAGGGTGCTCAGGAGTGGTTGGGATCTCCTACAGCCTTTCTCTGGGACTTTGGAAAGAGGGATCTGGGGGTTTTCCCCACCTCCCTGCCTGCCAGATGGGTGCAATAACGCATGCTGCCTTTGCCTTGTCCATCCAGGTGGTAACTCTTTTTGCCCCAGCTCTTTTTCACCCCTCAAAGCTCTTCCACTGTGCTGATACTGGCCCTGCTCCTCTGGTTTTTATTATATTTTATTCCACCACATATATGTGTGATGGGAGGCTGGCATCATCACCATTTGCTCTGTGCCTTTATGCAGCCACTTGGGCTCGGAGCTCTCCAAATATTTGGGCTGCTCCCTCAATGGGAACGTAAGAATTAGCAATTTCCAATTGCCCATACATGGGAAAATCAGGATGATTAGAGCCTGCGACAGCATCTCGTTGCTTCTTGCAGCCAGATGTTCCCTTGCTCCACAGGACAGGGACCGGCCAGTCTCAGAGGCTGCCCCGGCGCGGGAGCACATCCCAGTTTCTCACTGGAAATGCTTTGATCTATCCAAACCTGCAATGAATGTCTCCATAGGAGAGGAATCACTGCTAAAAGGGTTTTGCTCCTTTTTTAGTATAAAAAGAAGTATTAAGGCATTGGTGGAGTTTGGTTGGGGGTAAAAGCAGGTACCTCCAGGTTAGGTCACCCCAATTACAAGCTGCAAGTGGCTGTGACGAAGGTTATCCAGGCTGTCAAATCTTGTCTAACCAGTAGGAACTGGTTTGGGCAGTGGGTTTTGGGTGGTTTCTAGGAGAAATGGAAACCCCTGAAGTTTCTGGCTTTTTTGGAACTGGCAGCAACTTTCTGTCCTAAAGCTCGATCTTCAGGGTGAACAATCCAGGGGAAAGCAAAGCAACTGGGGACATAATTTTTCAGTAAAAATGGCTTTGTACATTCATTTGTTTTTTTGGTTTTTTTTTGTTTTTTGGTTTTTTTAGCCTGGTGCTGTACTAGTGCAGACCTCAGAGAAGCTGGAAAAAAGGTTTATTGGATCATGGAGATATTCCTGTATTGACCATCAGCTGCAGGCTGCCTCCCCACTCTCTTCCTCTGCTGTTTTATATCCCTTTTATTGCTCCCCCATCCTCAGCACCTGAGTCCCCTCTAGTCCTGGATGAGGAAGATGATGGTCCATGACCAAGTTGCAATGTTACCATTTAATTTTGCAGACAAGACAAACCCTCTACCTCCTTCCTTCAGACCACGAAACACGAGTGATGGAGCTTTCTGTGTCTGAGACGTGCCTAAGTATCACTTAATGTGAGGCAGAGTGTAAATACTCCCTGTGAGCCATATACCGAAGCCAAGCATGCATCGCAGCAGCTGGGGGATGTTTGCAGACTGCACTTGTGCACTGGAGAAACATATATAGGACATCATCAAGTTCCAGCAATTTATTCCACCTATGCCTTTTTTATTTGTCACTATGGTAACTACAAAGTAAAGATCAAAGCAGCGTGCCAACAGCAGGAAAAGGTATTATTCCCCACCCCCCCACCACCCCTTGCAGAAATAACTTAAGCTTGTTTTTATTTCCTTCCCATTCAGAAAAATCCCTTGCTGCTGGCTAGTGCTGCTGTGAGGGGTTGCACCTTTTTTTGGTAAGGGATAAATCCTTGTCTCCAGCTGCTGAGAAATTACACCTCAAGAGTCTGAGGATCAAATACACTGAATTTTCTTCAGTTTTGAGGCAAACATGAAGTGTAGCTTGATGGATGGGTGATAGGGTAATGTGGCAGAAGATGAAGAGGGCTGATAGAGCAGGTCCCATGTTTTAATAGCGATGATGGTTTCGAGGGCTGGGACGGGTCCTGGGGCTGAAGGAGAGAAACTGGAGATACCACTGGCTTGTGGGGTGGGGAAAACCTTCTCAGGAGGAAACACTTGGTTGCTTTTCTTTTCCTGTAGGAAAACACTGATTTAATTAAAGGAAAAAGAAATTGTGGAAAAAAGGCACCCTCAATAAGGTGGCCTGGTTGTGGGGACCAGAAGTGCCCTGGAGGCTGCTCTGAGACCTTGATGGTCCCAGGTGGGCTCCCATGGCCATGCTGCTTGGGGGACACCTGTTTCCCAGTGCCTGTAGTGGGACCAGAGCCGCTCCTTGGGGTGGATCACAAGAATAACAAGCGCCTTATTGAAAACAAGATGAACTTGGCTGTATGGTGGGCTGGCATCTTGTCCTGGCTTCATGGAGCAGCTTGTCTTGAGTGGAAAGAAGAGCTGGCAAGGCTCTGAGGCAGGTTACAGGGTCACTACACATCCCAAAATGTTCCATCCATCACTGGCTGCCAGGCTTGTTGAGGAGGATGCTGCTGCCTGACCTGCCTGGGAGCTGCCAGACCCTTTGATGGGTCTTTTGTATTGCACGTGGTACAGACCAGCCTTTTGGGACCTGGAGCGATGGAGGGGAAGCTGATGTTGGAGCAAGGAGCAGGGATGCTGGTTGTGTGCTGGCTGCCTGCATGTGCTCGTCCTCACCCATCTCATGCTGGGCAATTTGCCGGGAGAGAATACTCCCTGCCACAGTCTGCTCCCTGGGAACGGCAGCTCCGATGGGGATTTGATTGTCAC